CTTCTGTTTATTATTTTATTTGGTCTGGTGTACTGAACGAGATCTCAGGTATGTTCATCCAATATATTGTTTAACACAAAATTACGTAATGTCTTCATAAAATATGGGAATCATACTTTAAATGTCTCATTCTTCAAATTCACTATTTATTTCTATCTCCCTCTCTGCTTTTTTCAATTCGATCTTTTTAGACATTTGCTTCTAGCCATTTAACTTTTGATTATTGTTAAATGCTAATTATTTCTGTCGACGCTATCCATGCTCGTACATTATCTTATGTCATCACATCTTCGTTAGTTTTTTTTAATTAATTGATTTACCTAGATTTCAATGATAGGTTTTATTTTCTTGAATAGTATTTTTTTATTTAATGTCAATCTATTTATCCTGTATCTCTTAATACCCTGGTACGGTGGAGGTTGGTGAGAGTCCGCTTTCTCTTTCGAAATGCTTTCTAATGGCCACGTGCATACAACCACTGTCAGAGAACTCCTATTCTATCTTCTCAAGGAGAGCGTGATGTGGGTGTGAAAAGTGAATTTCTGGAGGTTTAAACGGGTTGGTGGATACCGAGGATCCACCTAGGGGAATGGAAAATCCTGATTCCAAACCAGTAGTGCACATGGCGTATGAACCTATCGTCCTCTCCCAATGTTGCTACACTACTTTGTGGATTTGACCTTTAGCTCAAATGCACAGGGAATGGCCACTTAAGAAACCAACCCGCTTCGGTTTGGACACCCGGTTAGTATTCCAGCCGTCACACAAATCGAATGACCAAGTGTCTCGCATATACATTTGATGCCTCCTTGTACCGAAGTTTATGTGTTTACATAAAAAATAGAAAATAAATATTTGTCATGTGGGAAGTTTTTTGATTTTTAATTTGCTGAAACTAATCTAAATTGATCTTTTATTTGACAGTTACTCTAGTACTTATTTTATCTTTTGGTATTTAGTTAGTATGTTTCCAAGATAACTGGAGAAATAGAAATAAAAGATAAACGTTTGAATGTTAGTTCCATGTAAAAGCGTGTTTCAATTTCCGTCAATATTGATGTTCAAAATATAATGTGGATTAATTGACTTCAGTACCATAATTATTTATTATTTATGCTGATTTTTTATCTAGTTTTATATTGCCACTTTTTTAATGGTTAAAAATGTAATTATATTTATCATTAAAAAGTTGTGGAGATTGTTGAACTTCATTGAAATCATAAACCGTTGATGATGTAACTCGAATCATTCCCTGCTTTCAATATAATTATATTTGATCCAGTAACATACACATGCCTCTAGGAAAGTCATTTAGAAAAAAGCTTTAGAAATACTTTGTATATAAAATAAAGTCTCTGATTTACTTGCAACATGTAACACATAGTATACTATAAAGGAGGTCATAATTGTTACTAGTAATATGTTTTCCGGTTTTTCTGCATTTTTTTCATGAACTGTATGGAATCTGACATAAATATGTATACGTCCAGGTTGTTATATTTCACATCACTAAGTTGAGTAATTTGAAGAGCTTGAAGTTCAGTATAATGTACGTAACTTGAAACATAATTTGTAGTTTTTGTATGTGTTTTTAATTGAAATATCGATGCTCTTATCGTGTTTTATGTGACCGTGGTCATTATTCTGTTTATTTTTGTATGATTAGCGTATGGTTATGTACATAATAGATGCTTGTACCAAAGTGTAATCGTAGGTCATAATAGTAAATAGTAAACAATCATGTTTAATTAATTTTTTTTGTCAAGACCTAATCCATTAAACTTTCCTATGTCGTCATACTTTCTGAGTACTACACTCACACGACCATAAGTTCCGATCTGTCCTTGAATATGTTGTGTATGTTGAGTAATCTATAGTGTGAAAGAGTTCAGGTTTTTCCTCAAGTCTTTCAAGAAACTGAAGTTTGTTCACTTTATTGCCCAATGAAGTTTACCTCAGATGTTAATAAAAATAATGTATGAGTAGAAAAATTAAATTTTCAAATTTCCTACTCATTGGATTATTATAAATATATTTTATTTTTATTAATAACAATCTATATAATGCTCAATTTATTTGAAATTATCATTTCAAACCTTGATATAATCTCATTAATAATTGGATTAAATTGAACTTCAGATGCTTTTTCAATCTTAATATGACTTAAATAAGTATCGTTATCCTAAATAACATTTCCCTTTAAGAAAAACTTCAGATTAATCTATAAAAATTATATACTTTCATTGGATTTTGAGTGAATTAGCCGTGAATTCTTACTGTTTCATATACCCTAGTTAACTAAATTATTAATGATAAATACAATAATTTAGGTGTATCTGCCACATTTACTGCAAGTCTCTCGTCCAATTTTGTTGGAAGGATGTTTAAATGCACACAGTGAATAAATACAATTATATAATCATACGATCGCAAAAGGTTCTGTTTTTTATCATGACTTGTTTGAATATAAGTTTTCTATAAACTTTTGTTAGGATCAACTCCTTTTTTTATGTATTTTTCTCACAGTAACACGCAACAGAAGCTCTTATAAGTGGCACTTTTCCTACAAATATTCATGCCACTTCTTGTGACTTTTTATGAAACAGGATTTGCCATTATTTTCATAAGTGACCGCTGAGGATCTCATCACTAGAGTGTTATTAAAATACGTTTAGGAAATAAGTTGTTTTTGTCCTATTTTCAGTTATTTCTCACCTTTCGATAGTAAGCAAATTTGATTTAAAGAGAGAATTTCTTCCTTAAGAAAATTAATGCTAAACTTTCAAGTATAACTCGAAAGAACTGTGCACAAGACAGGAAATTTATTTTAGAAGACTACTAAAAACAGGGTGAAAAATCGGGTGATACATAAATATTTATGAAGAAAATTGGATTAAAATGGTTGTCAAAAGCAGATTAACAGTTGTGTATGCAGTCAACTACTACATGATGACTGTTTTAAAGTGAGATGAGGCTTGAATTTTATATGTACAGAACTTATCCTGAACAATTAAAATAAAGTATTTTTTTCAAATTCAGGTTTTCTAATGCTATTGAAATGTTTTACCATATTTTGTTTAAGTGAAACCATTCATTCAATGAATGTGCTTGATTTTCAATGAGCATAAGCTATATTTCTTTGTACGCTAGTCTTGTTATTAAAACCGCTAAAATTTAATAAACACGTTAAGTGAAATAAGTTCCATTTGTTTTCCAAGAAGATATTGGTAACAAGAAAAATGTGAATCCATGATAATTTGGCACAAAAATATCAAATTATATACGACGGTATCGAGCATCAACTTGTGATAAATGAACATGTGTTTAGATAACATGAAAAACAGACTATGAGTAGCTGCTATTGTTAAAAAAATAGTCTACTGATTCTGCAGTTATTCTTACATTTCACCCATTAGTTGAAAAATATTAATCGACAAATTGTCCGTCAGGCCTCTTCTTATTAAATAGATCTTATTATTCTTATATTGTAATCTTGTTGATGTCTGACCTATGTGATAAAGGAATAACTTGTTTAAAATACAGCTTTCCCATACTTTTAGATGAGTTTACGCACATACGGTTTCGAACGTAAATTGAATAATTTACAAGTTTTAGCAATGATTTCTCAAGCATTCATGCCTTTATTGCTTTGACCTTGTTTACATCATTATCGCTCACTGATGTGAACTGTAAGTTTTTCCTATGAATATGATGAAAGATAATACAATTTCAGGGGTTCCAATTCTAAAAGTTGAATTTATGAGTCGATGTAAGCTAGGCCACAACTTATAACCTGGAAGAACTGAATGGTCGTTTCGTCCTAGTATGAAACTCCTCAGCTGTGCGCATCCACGACCTCGTATATGGGACTCGAACCCAGGACTTTCGGTCTCGCGCACGAACGCCTAAGCTCTAGACCATTGGGCCGGTATCAACCGGTGTTAATGTCTAACTACAATCAACCCACGATCTTGCGCAGTCATTCATCCATTATCCAAGTTAGATACCTGTCTCTACCCGATACGGATTGAACTCCACTAATTACGGCTTCTCACCAGAACTCTAGCTTACATCGACTCATGAATCCAACTATCAAAATTACTACAATCTCCACAAACCCCCATTGTGATTCCACCTATTATTTTAAAAGTTCATGTTATATATTTGGACAACTTAGATAAAAGGGTTATTATTTAAAATATTTTTTATTTATGTGAACTGGTTCATGATTCCTTAAGTTTTGTAGTGATGTAAGTTGATTAGAACAAGGTGGTACAGGCAATACTAAAAGTGACCTCTTTTTATCATGATGCATTAAATAGTTGTGATTATGACTGTGACGTAAAAAACAGGTGACATTAGTTGATGGAGATGGAGTAAAATCCAATAAATATATTTCTCAGCTATTTGGTTACACTTTGATACATTTAAGTCACGGTTTGGAATATTGTTTTTTCTAACAGACCTTATATGAAATAGTCATCTTCAAGAAATCATTGTTTTATGTATCTTTTCACAACTTATTACTTGGTCACAGTATATTATATCATTTTACAAATTTCTAATTAAGTAGCCTAAGAATAACTTAGATATCAAACATTCTTTGTTAATCGCTTATTAGTAGATTAGGAATCTTTATTTGATCATACACTCCAAGTATAAGAGTACTTTATGAATAACCAGTGATTCATTTTCGTTCAGTGTCTGAATAATAATTTATAAATGTTTTATTTATTGGCTTACATAGAAGGGATGTTATGAAATTTACCAAAATTAATATAATCAATGACTTTTATTATCCTTGCTAAAAATATAAAAAAAAACAATCTCAAAAACATAAGGGAGATAGCTCATACTAAAGATCCAACTAATTCAGTTTTTAAATTTAATATACTTTATTTTACTAGGATGATATCTAAGATCACTTAATATTCATCATTTTACCATACGGTTGAATCGATTAGCGTGAAAACATTACATTTTACTTTCCTTATTATTAGATAAAATCAGAGTTTGGCAAAATTGTTTTGAAATCAGAAAATGAAGTGGATTTATCAGATGAAGTGAAAGGATTCATTAAAGATGTCGAGAAGTATGACTTCATTAGACTCAGTCTTCCTGATATAAATGGAATCCATCTGAGTAAGTTGCTTCCTACCCGCTTTGCTAAGAAGTTGGCAATGGGCCAGGTGGAAATGTATTCAGGGTCTATAGCATTCGGACCAAGATTTGAAGTAAGTGAAGATAAATCACGATTTCTCTTAAAAATACATGCATCTTATGTATATACAATTTAAGCTCTTGGCTGCTTAATCATTATTTGATGGGAAAAACTAAAAAAATTGTTGTTTTTAAATATTTCGCTTAGGTTCAAACGTCTATGGTAGAATACTCACTTGAAAACTCAATATACTTCAGATCCATATTCTTTACAGTCAAAAGTTTTTATTCAAGAAAAATAACCACTTACTGAACAATTTGGTTATTATATGGCTATATTTAGAATATATTGTCACTTGTAAAACCAGTTTCTGAACGACCGTGATAATGACTTTCCTGAAAATAGAGCCTCAGGTGGCAATATTGTTTCCGTTTTTCATAAGAGCTTCCTTGAAATACAGTAGAAATTAAGAATATAAACATAATTTTCCTTATCCTAAAGGATAACACTGTTATTGGCTTAAATGAAGGGGCAGGCAAATAGAATCCAAGGATACATTCAATCGGTTATGATCAGAAAGTTTAGTGAGAAAATATTTTGTTTCGTTTTAAACAAATTGTTATGCGATTTAACAAAGCAGTTTTATCTCGTTCATAATAGCAGTTATATCCCATCTGTTTAGTTCTGTACAGCATCATAGTCATCGATTCTTATTATTCCAGTTTTTTATTTGGATAAGTGTGATGAGTTGTGACTGATAGGTCACAACAGACTACTGAATAGGGATTTACTATGTGTATCATTCATACAAAAGATATACTTCATTAATCAAAGTAATAATGATGGTAAGGCCTAGTGGTGCTTCAGGACAGTAAACAAAGTCAACCAAAACTTTTAATTTTCAACAAATTATCAGTCAGCTTTTGCGAACACTTACGGTTTCAATGGAAACTACACAAGCAATTAAGCTAATTAAATGTAATATCGTTATCAAATTCTATCTGCACCGATTAAAAGCCTACTTAATCATGCTAGAATTCCTCTCAACTGATCTATTTGTCGACAATTTATAACTTTGTTACATCCTATTTACTAACTGAAGTAATTTCACTATGAACCCAGCATTTGCAAAATATGAAAACAACACATTGAATACATCATTTGCACATTTTCCTTGGATTGTTTTTCACAAATTCCGTCGTTCTTTTATCCCTATTGCCACTCCGATTAAATTTTTTTGTTATTTTTCTCTTCTGTCAGTGAGAATCATACTTTCAATCCTTGATACATTCTACTTATAACTGTCCGTGTAAGTAACACACACCACACTTCTATTAAATTGAAATGATGGTTTAAGCAGCATTTTAGAGATATGTGATCCACAGTTATGAATTAATTCTCAATACACAGTAGATTTTTAGAAGTTCGTATTTTCTTGTTTCAGTTTTATAATTTACTTCATCTGCAAATTTTATAATTCATTATTTCAATAAAAGTGTACTTCATTTTGTTTTCTATTTGCGAAAAATTATCAGTCACAATAAATTTGAGCTGTCTTCACATTTAGATGATCAGCATCCCAGAAGTGGTTGAAAGGAAACATATTAACAGTGTTTTGAAGCCAGATTTCTCGACTCTGCATCCGTGTCATTGGATTTCACAAAAGAATTATCCTTACACACAAAAGGACAATAACATGTTTTTGAACGGAGAAGATGGTAAATATTCATTTTGTTCCGTTTTGTGCGATATATACTGGCCTAATAACCAGCCAATGTATGCCTATCCAAGATTTGTTGCTCAAAGGCTTATCAAAGAGCTGGAGGATAAATATAATCTACGGCTATATTCAGCTTTTGAACCGGAGTTTAGGGCTTTTGTAAAGGGAAGCTATGAGTCATCGTGTTTAGAACCAAAGTCGAACGACGTTACCCAATTTATTGACCTTAAAAAACCAATCCCTTGGACAAATTTTAGAGACATGTACAGAACAAGTTTACTGTCCGTTTATGAAAACTATTTTGCGGATATTGATTACAATATGCAGCTAGCAGGGATCGATATACAAGATTACAGTAATGAAGATGGCGAAGGACAGTTAGAATGTCCGTTAATACCAACATGGGGGTTGTCGGCTGCAGATAATTATTTTATATTGAAACAGGCTGTAAAAGAAATTGGAACTAAACATGGGATGGAAATTTCGTTTATGACTACACCATTACTGGATTCCAGCTCTAGTGGGTGTCATTACAACCATTCTCTGTGGTACTCTGATAATAATCGTAATGCATTTTACGATGATAAAGGTAAGTCTCGATCGATTGATTTTGCAAATATTTCATTTTACTCAAAATCTCCGCCACTAAATATTTATCTGGTATAACGAATATCTTTCTCGAAATATCCTCCTTTCAGATGACGACAGATTTCTGGAATATATAGAGGATTTTGATCAAAACAGGTGTAGTTAATTTGACAAACAAAACTGTTTGTCAACATATGTCGTGCTTTTAACTATTCAAACTTATTATTATGTAATGTGCAAAGATATCTCATCCGAACTGAGTTTTTCTTCTACTTATCTTGTAGTTTGCAAAATCCTTTTGTGTTAACTTTGATACTTAAATATTTATTATCTACTTTAGAACAGATTATTATACCGTTTCACTATACATCTGAGAAATATATTTCACCCTAAAATAGTAGGATAACAAAACCAGATAGCACATGAAAAATGCATGCACTGGAACGAATTTATCAACTTTCTCTCTCTCCATATATATATAAGATGTTTTAATGTTATTTAAATTTTTATGCGTATAATATGAACTGAACATGAATAATGTAATTTTAACTAAAGTTCAAATTTTTTGCCACGTCAGATCCTGATCGATTATCTACTCTAGCTCGTCACTGGATTGGAGGGATCTTGGAACATTTACCAGCTATGTTAGCTATTTCTTGTCCAACAGTAAACTGCTATAGAAGACTGCATAAACATCTTGCTCCCTCCTGTGTGAATTGGGATTTTCATGATAGGTATGTATCAATTCGTGTAAAAAACTTTAATGAGAGACAGACATACATAGAAAATCGTATACCATCGTCCGCATCTTGTTCTTACCATGTGCTTGCTGCCACAATAGCAGCTGGACTAGATGGCTTGGAACGTCAGATACACCCTCCACCTTCAGGTTTGAAACTAGCAAATGGTCAAATTGGTGTCTGTAAAGTACTTCCCAATACAATTCAACAGGCTCTACATAGTCTTATGGATGACAAAATACTTGTGAACAAGTTGGGAGCAGATTTTGTTGATTGGTATATTCAAGTAAAAAAGAATGGAGATTTGTCATCACTTGGTCATTTAAATATACATGATAATACTGAAGAAACACTGGCTTATGAAAGATATGAATATTTCAACTTTATGTGACTCACTTCACAGAACCAGTTTATTCTATCAGTTTATTCCAACAATGATGATTTTCTCAGTAGCTATTGCATGTAAAGCTACTTACTTTTAAATTTTTATTCTCTCACTTTTTATAAGTCCCATTCTATTACTGCTATTTCACTTAGTCGTTCCTACATTACTCTTAAGATGGGGTTGACTACTTTTACATTTCATTACACTATAATCCACTATTTTTTAAAAAGGATATTATTAATGTGATAAGCAGTTTAATAATAATGAATTAAAAATGAGACTAGTTTGATGTTTGTTTTATTAACATAATGCATTTCAAGGATATAATGAATCTCCTAGTTAGGCTGTATAGAACTTTGCCTGAACAAAGAAAAACAGATAACGTGTTTATCCATTACATCCAGCGAAGTTGAATGATGTTACTCATATTTTTTAATTAGCGTCTTTATGTTGTCGTTTAATGTTGAGTATGAGCTGGCAGACTTTGGTGTTAACACGACTGTAATTATATAATGTAAGTTCGTAGAATTTCGATTACTAAAAGTTTAATCATCTTACAGCTAGATTCATTTTACTTTCTTCAAGGGGTTAATTTAATCTAACCGGAAAAAAGTCTAAAACAACTTCTGCATAGTTTTTAAACAATAACATATACGTTTAGGTTTATACTGAAAAATTACACAAGGATTTTGATTACATTAAAATAGTTTCACAGATCTCACTAGACATCACACTTGAAATATAGGGTTGAAACGTGAACAGTGTTGCAAAAAGAGTTATTTGAGGATGGGTCCATTAGTCTGTCATTGGATGAAGAGGTCAGTTTTCATAAATAGTTCTTTATCTTCAAATACAATGAGTTCACCATTTATTTGAATGTATTTATAATACATAAATACTGGTACATATAGGTCCCAAAATAAATATATGTCACACAAATAAGGAAATGAAAGTGTGGAATGAGGAGGGAGTATGATCGAAAATTGACGAACCAAGAGAAATAAGTGAACGAGAGTAACATAAAACAGGAGGTAAATTTCAACTAAGAACATAAATAGGAAGAATTCCTTCATTTTGGTGATTTCATTAGGTTTTTATGAAGAATACAAAATAAAAATACAGTAGGATTATCATTGGCTTCTATACTGAGCTAATATCTAATAACATGTCAAACCAGTGAGAGTTGCATTATACCACAGAACTCAACCGGGAAGTCACTTTGGACGTACAGGTGACCGTCCTATACATCTGTCTTTCTTACCACCTTACCACGTCAAATACCGTCCACCGCTACAATTTGTTGTGTGCATCAGTCGTCGCTGTCTATAAAATCAGAACAAACTGGTCGATGTTACCGTAGCAGCAGACCAACTGGACTGTTCCTTGATAAGTTATGTTCAGACTATCTTTCAGCAGTTACCAAATGCAGCTTCTGTTTCCAAATCATTAGAACTCTCCGAGGAACACGTCTCTCCGTTTTTATGCAAAATTTCTAAAGTTTATGTACCTAATAATTTATGCTTCATGCAACTTATTCCCTTGACGAATATAAATATAGCCAAAACAACGACTGAGGCAGTACTTTTGACTTTATTCAAACCTACTTTTATTACAAAAAGTTGCGGTTTACCGGATTAAACTGACGTTCCTCAATGAGTTATAAGGTACCTGGGGAGACCTACTATTTATGAATAGAACGTTTCGAAAACAAACAAGAGACATGACTCATTATTTCCATAGAGGCATGCAAACTCACTAAATGGTTATCTACTCTTTCCATTGGACAAACTGATAGTCTTAAACCCAACTTGGTTTGATGATTACTACGACTTTAGGCCCGAATAATTATCACGTGATTTATACGTCGGATGAGTGTACTGTGATACTAATGGATGCTTGGGCGTCCTGATGTGCAAGCATGGTTGCTTTTGCGATAAGTTCCTTAATTGTGGAGAATACTTTTCGACCATTATCGTCCAAATTGATGGATTTCAAATATCCACGAAGTTGGTCGGTTAATGGTTTCACAAGGGAAACGAAGTTTGGTATGAACCGTCTATAGAAATTTACAATGCCGTTAAACGCGAGTAATTGCCTAATTGTGGTCGGTTCTGGGTAGTCCAGAATAGCCTCCACTTTGCTTCACAGAGGTCGGATGCCTTGAGCAACAATAGTATGTCCGAGGAAATCTAAGGAGTCAGATCCGATTTGGCATTTCCGAATGTTTACAGTAATACCGTGCTTTTGTAGTCGTTCAAAAACAAGGTTTAGATGCTGGAAATCAGATTCTCTGTCCCGAATCGCAATCAAGCAGTCATCAGCATACGCATGTACGAAGTTGAGACTTCGGGAAACGTCATCCATGAATCTTTGGAAGGTCTGAGCAGCATTTCTTAGGCCGAAAGGCTTGCGCGAAGTTTCGTAGACACCGAAGGGAGTAATGGTAGTGGTTTTAAGAATGTCGTCAAGTGGCCATGGGGATTCGGTTATAGGCTTTAACCAAGTCGATTTTCGAAAAGACGGTTGTACCTTTTGATGTAGCTGTCAAGTCGTGATTGTGGGGCAACGGGTAAGAGTGAATAAGTCGTATTTCGATTGACGAATAAATTACGTGATAACTAGTCGGAAATTAAAGTCACAACATTCCCTATGTCCTGTTTGATGGACGAATGATTCTCAGGCCTATCATATGATCGAATCCGTTTTTAGCCGACCTCAGCATTTTGGGGGCCAGTCAGAGGCTTTCGTAAATACAGATGGTCGTGTAGTTGTGATGTGACGTGTAACATTGGTGGTTACACACGGCAATTTCGGTTGCGTTCGGTATATCCCAGAGTACTTACCAAGTAATTGCTGATAGAATGGATCAGTCGTGTGCTAAATATGACTGGAGATAATCTGCAACCGGAAGAAGAAATTACACAAACGGGTGAATTTATCCACAACGCAGCCATGTAAACTTAATGTATCGCCCAGTGTAATAACGGTCATCTGTGCGTTCAAGTAACCACAAATTTTGTCATTTCATGATGTATTTTTAATTAATTAACTAGATTATGTTGTTAATTTTGCTCATTTTTTAATTTTTATTCGCCACGTCCGACTGCGTTACACTGCACGTCCATTGCACGCTGGGATGATATCCTAAGTTATAGTGAGTTTTATCACATAGTTGATTGTTTCCAGATAGACCATGAGTGCATAATGTTACTGAAGAAAGTTTTGTTGTACTGTGAACTATGTTTTTATGAACAAGTGACTGATGTCTTCAGTCAGAAGGCAATTGATATATTGTTTATCTTCTGTTAGATAAGTTCGACTGGCCTTTATTTCGTGTTTTGGTTTTATCGGCTTAATTATGTCCATTTAACAACTTTGAGCAACATGTCTGTGCAAATGAAACAATAATTATGACACTTGCTTAGTTTAGTATTCTTGGTTCTGGTACAGTTCAGTTTAGCCGGAAGAATTATGGTATACTTAAGTATAGTGCTTGAAGCCTGTAACGAAACAGATCAGTTTAGTAAGTAGAGCTGCCTGTTTCTAATGAGTATACTGATTGAAATTATTCCGATTGAAAATAGGAAAAAAATGCCTCTGGCACTGTTGCTGTCATACATTATAAGATAGCCTTAAGTATGTTTGGTGTTTATTTCTAGACTGTACATCTATCACTGACCATATTTCAAGATCACTGTCATTAAGCAATTTCCCCAGCAATAACATCGGTAGCAGGATAGCTAAGCGTCTGAGCTTTTAGTTGCCCCCAAACAACAGTATACAGTCTTAGAAGATGAGTGTTCTGTGTCTCAATTAGATGTAGCTGGCTGTGGATAAGTGTTAAGAATCTTTTTGACAACTGGGACTTTTAGTTTATCAGACACTAACTCTGCTTGTGTGTCTTCCTGTTAGACTAGACGCAGATGCATGGGAATACTTAAATGGGGGCAAAATAATAAGAGCATTGGGATACGGCACTAAGCCCATGTTATGCTTTGCACAAGTAATAGTAGCTGACCTGATCTAATATTCATGAACTCAAGGTAAATCACAACTGCACAAATTCTTTGCTAAAAAACATGTAATTTGGTCATTTATCTATTCCACATTTCTGACTAAATTCATTACTATTTTTTCATTTAGAATGCAACAGGAGTGAGCTTTCGCAGATCCTAAGAACTGTTTCGCCCCTAGGACTATGGCCCTATAAAACTGTTTACGGGAGACCCAACTAACAGCAGATTATAAAAAGGATGCTGGACGTCCATTTTAGTCTCACAACCACTTCCACGACTTTTTGAGTTACTTCTTTTACCCTTTCGTTAGGGAAAAAACAACAAAGCCTGAAGCTTAACATTACCAGTGCAACTTTTAAACGGGAACTTCGTTTAAACCTTTGATATTCGATTCTTAATGAAAGTTCCTGAATACGTTCTTAAATCTAATGCTACTTTGTTTTACCTACTTATTCGTTGCAAGAAACTTGCGAAACACGAGCCTCGCAGCACCTAGTTCATATGTAGTAAATTTAAGTGATTAAGTACATATCTTCGTCATTTTCTTGGGAAACCTACAGATTCGGGTCCTCTCATAACTTATTCTAACCACCATGAGTTGTCACGGCAGCTGATGGACACACGTTATACATCCTAACCGTACCTGCGTCTAATCTCATAGCTTCTTATTCAAATGCCATATGATAGACAAGCAATGATTCTACCTGCACTAATAGAACGATAGTAACTCAATGGCACCCTGTATGGTGTCTTACATTAGTCTACCCACTCGCTTAGCTCTTTAGTGAGAATATTACTACAGTCCTGCTAAAAATCCCATGAACCCCCCTACCTCCATTAAAACAAATAAGTCCGTATTTGCTGCATATAGCAATTTCACTTTTCAGAAGTAAGATATAACAGTTAGAATTGGAGCAAAATTACAGTATACAGCAGATGCACGTGGTACATGTCTTCATCGATTAACTGAAATAGAGAATATGGATATTA